CGCTCCGGCGCCTCTCGTCGGGCAGGGCCGGGGCACTAGAGGCCCGGGGCTGCTCGAGCCTAACCCGCCAGCGGGCCAGAGCCGGCCCGGCCTCAGCAGCGGCCGCTGCGACCCGGCTCCTTGCTCGCTTGGCGCGGCTGGGGGGCCCGGGGCGGTCTCTCTGCCGGAAAGGAATGGATGTGCAGCACGGGCCTGCCAGGGCAGGCACCCCCACCCCTTGCCACAGCCTTTAGCAGCCCAGCCACTCCTGCCACCCACATGTGAAACCATCTCCAACGTGGGTCACCTCTGCAGCCCCCCTTTCGCGGCCACCTTCACCCCCGCCGCACTTCCCACGACTGCACGTCTGCACGCACCGACGGGACGGGCGCTGAATCACTGGGGAGCAACTCCCGCCCTCCCCTGCTGTTATCACCTTGGGAATGGGCTTAGCTCCGAAGGCAAACACCAAGCTGCCGTATATCACAGGGCCCGTGACACCAGGGGAGCAGTCTATTGCCTGACACCGCCTGCAAGTGTGAAGTTCAGCTGCAGAGGTCTTATTTATCTTAGGAGTTGCCACATTTTTTTCAACCCACAAAGGCATCGTAAAGCAGACGCCTTAGCCTTGCTGAGAGTGGGGGTGCACGTGCGTGCTGTTCTGCAGAGGTGGCCCGATGCTCCAAACTCAACCCCCAGCTTTAAGCAGTTTACATTCACCTTGTAGAAAATCTCAGCGGTGCTGCTGGAAACGGCGCAGCCCTAAAGGAGATGGAGCCGTCCTTGCTGGAGCAGCGTGCTGTGGCCTGCTGCAGCTTCATGTCTTCGCAGGGCGCGTAAGGAGACGACTGGGTACAATTTCTCTTTCCTTTCAGCAATCTTTGGATTTTTGGGTCGCTTCGCTTCGCTTGGAAGTTGGTTCCAGATCCTAGCCACCCTGACTGTGAAGCAGCACCTCCTGCTGTCTAGCCTGAATCTACTCTCAGCCAACTTATGGCCGTTGTTCCTTGTTATCTCTGGTAGTGCTCAGGGGAACAGGGATCCTCCCGTTCCCTCGTGCTCCCCCTTGGCCAGTTTGTAGATGGCCACCAGATCCCCCCTTGGCCTTCTCTTGTGGAGGCTGAACAGGCTCAGGTCCCGCAGCCTCTCCTCGTAGGGCCTGCCCTGCTGCCCCCTGACCATGCGAGTGGCCCTCCTCTGGACCCTCTCCATGCTGTCCACACCCCTCCTGAAGTGCGGCGCCCACAGCTCGAAGCTTAACTGCTTGAACTGAGCTGCCGTCATTAACCCAGTGCACAGATGTCACAGAAAACCTTCCCTGGAAGAACCGGCCCCACATTGCCAGCACTCTGCCCATCTAATTGCATTTTTGAGTGGCTGCTGCAACCGAGGCAGAGATGAAGGGGGTGGAGGAGAACAAGGCCGCAGAGGGAACGGGCTCCCACTCCTGTATTGCTAGGGAGGCTACTAGAACAGTTGAAGGAAAATTCTCATTAAATAATCACGCCGCATCATCAGATTCAACGGGGAAAGACAACCTTTGCTGGCAGCCAAAGCAAACGCTTTGCTGTACAGTAAGACACAGTCTGGCCTGATGGGTCCAGCACAAGTGAACCCAAGCCCTGACAAAGAATTTCTCTGCTACCCCCAAATTAAAAGCAGAACCAAGCTTTCAGCCATAGGCGTCTGTGGTTTGCAGCTATGCTCGGCTGGGAACTCCGGATACTTCCTTGAGGAATTTACATTCCTTTGAAGAACTACTGCTAGGTTGTTTGTCTTCACAGCAAAAAATGTGCATGAAAAAAAAGAAAGGACATTAAAACCCTGATGGAAACCCTCATGGTTTGGGCAAAACAAAATACAAAAGCAAGCCCCAGGCAGGTGTTTCACTGTTGCTTAAAATCTGCCCAAAGGAGATTATGGTTTCTGAACAACAGAAAAGCTGATCACCTTTAACTTTGATACCTTCTGGAAAAAGCTCCTGCTGAAATCAGAAGACCTAAAAGGCTCCTGGAGCAGTTTCCAGACTAATGCAATTATTATTTCAGAGCTGCTGCTGAGGTCCTGGGATCAGGAGAATTTCTGCCGATAATTTAGTTAGTGAAATTTGCTGGGTTGGGAGGGCGGAAAAAGGTCAATTTCCACCAGCCAGAAGTCGAGTCTCCGCTTACAGCTGGCTGGAACTGCAGAGAGGACTGATTCATTTCACATCGAACTAGAATAAATGCAGTAGAGCTGGTTAAAGGCCAATGCCCCCGTGAAGAGCTAACCTGAGAGGAGACAGGAACCTGCTGGCCTGCTCCTCTCTGTACATCGCTCGTTAGGCAGGAACTGAAAGCACCAGGAGCAATTTCAGGACACGGAGCAGGGCAGACTCCCCTGGCTTTTCTTCTGGAAACCATGTCAATCAAACACGAAGCCTAGTCCGATTACCACCCCCGCACAATTCACAGGGCACCCGTTTAACCAGGCACATGGCAACAGCCCAAATTAGTTCACGAGAACGGCTAGCCGTTCCACTGCAGAGACCTCAGGGTCAGCGAGAAGTAACAGATGCTCTGTCCGCTCTGGCGGAGCCCCTCTTTCCCCCAAACCCTATTTGGGGGCACACATGAGGCAGCAGGGAGGGGATCCCAACACTGAGCCCATGGACCCAAGTCTGCTGGGGCTGGGCTTAGGCCTTGCTCCTGGCTGCAGGCCTCAAGAACGGCACAGCCCGTACAGCCAGCTGCTGGGTTGGACACCCCTCTTAGCAGTGACCAGTGCTGGTTTTAGGGACACTCGCCCAGGCCCCAGGCTGGGCAGGAAGGCCAGCAGGTTAAGCTAAGTGGTGCACGCGTGCTTGGCCTCCAGCGTGTGGTAGGAGGCGGCCACGTCTGGGCCATGGTTGTGAGTCTCCTACCAGGCTCTGCCTCATCCGGTCAGCAGTGCCATCACCAAGTCTCCCCTGAAGGGCTGAGCCTTCCAGTTCCCAGGGCGCCCACAGCACAGTGCACTGCACGTGTCTGGGCTTGGCAGTGTCCGAAAGCCCCTGGGCTCCTTGCTCTGATGTACACTGAGCCAGACCCGCGCTAGCCCCCGCCGGGCACTCACCACTGGGTGCGCCTGGGCTGGCCAGGTCCTGTCCAGGCCCCTCCTCTCGCGGTGCGTGGGGCTCCTCTTCTGCTCCAGGAGTCCGCACCATCCCAGAGCTGGGATGCTGCTGCTAGATCTCGTCAGGATCCTCCTGCCCGCAGCCGCCTCCTCTCAGCCTCTGGAGTTCAGGCAGCACCCCCACCAGCACCCTGGGGTTTCTATTCTGCTGCAGTAAGCTGGAGAAGGAGGCATCTCCCAGCTCCAACCTACTTCTTGAGCAGTCCCAGTTTGTGTAACGCTGAGCAAAGTCGAGTTCAGCAGCTCTCCTTGCAGCCAGTTGGGAGACATGTGCGCAGCCTTGTTGGTGAGCACATCATGCATG